GAAATTTTCTATTCGTATTTTACCCGGATACACAGCTTATCTGGGCCTCTGTAAACTAAATCCTGAAACATATCAGTCTATCAGGTTCTAAATGAGCCTACATTCCCTGTGTCCTTCACCTGAAGCCCCCAACCAGCCACAGACATATGAGCTGTATCACACGGTTGCCATGATATTTATTACATTGTAAGCAAGCCGACAGACACATCAGAAACCTAATAACACATAGCACTTATGAAATAAAACACTTTGAGAAACTGATCACGTCTACTAAGTGGTTTTCTACACTGATAAATGCAGCTATTATGCTCAAATGAATAGTACATGAATGTTATTTCACCAGCAGTCATCACATACCATATTTCCTATGAAAAAAACCCCAGTACATATTCTTTGAACAAGATTCTCAACCCAATAGCTAATTGTGGCCTAGAGCTAATTGCAGATCCAGTACTTAATGTCAAATAATGCAATGCATAATCTACTGTATCAAAAACATTTTTTTTCTAGATAGATGAAATTTAAATATAACATACTTGAACATATGTACAATATAGCATAATATTAATGTGTTTACTGACTGCGTTGTAGCCAGTGCTGGTTGGGGGACAGTGCTTATCTAACAGCTGCTGCTTATTGGAAGAAATAGTGTATCTGTAACATCACTGTAGGTAATCAGTTGGGGGGCTATCGACCAATGGGGGACCTTTCGCTACAACAAAACAAACAGTGGAGCCATGATGTGTAAGTCCTAATTTTGACATTTTTTTGTCAGAAGAGAACAGCTCAACCCAGATGGAATTAGTGTCCAGTGTAGTGTGTCATTGCCATGTCTGCTGCAGTGTTCGTCATTATGACCAATAAAGTACGGCTGGGTTTTTGGTTTGAGACACTAATTGATCTCAATCGTGTACTTTTGACAAAAACGTCTGTGCTCAACAATGTACACCAGAAAACAGCCAGTAGCATATGGCAAGTTAGGAAGAAAGCTCTAGGTATACACGAGATCACACTTATCAGCCTGGTGGATTAGATCAAAGTATTGCTGATACTAGAGTTAGACAGACATGCAGCAAAGTTTACGAGTGGATGTGTCGATCTGTGGATGTACCGTGTACCTGACACCTGAACCTGTCTGTATTATTAGTTCTTTCAGAACAGAGAAAAAGTACCCTCTATAAAGTGTAATATGTTTATATTCAAATATAGCTGAGTCCCAGTCTAATTCTCACTTCCATTTTAGATTCTGAAGACAGCAAATGGCCAAAAAAAAGCCCTGCATGTTCTCATGGGTCGTGGCGGACAAAATCTTTCAAGGAATGTCTTTGTCTTCTTCATAAATAACAAACCTACTTTTTAAAACATATTCAGGTAAATGATCATCACTATGGGGATTCCCAAATGTATCAATACGCGGAACTACTTCTTGTCATCAATATAATCATTAAATGCTGGAACTGCTTTCACGTCCTGAAATGGTATTTGCTGGTCTGAAGTATTAATGTCACCATATTGACAAGAGGATCCAAACTACCTAATGTCATGACATACTACTTTCATGACAACTGAACTGAGACTGATGTGAGACAGCAAATGGTGGTGTATGGCTTTGTCAGAAACATTCAGAAATAACACTGTGTCGGCTATGTAACAGTTAAACCACAGGGAGAAAGCTTACTGTAGCAAGTCCTAAACGTTCAGTAACTTAGCTAAAGAAGAGGTTTTCCATTTCCAGGGGTGTGGGGGTTACGGGTGGTAGGGTGGTTGGGTGGCAGGGAGGCAGGGAGGTAGGGAGGTAGGGAGGTAGGGTGGTAGGGATGGCAGGGAGGCAGGGTGGCAGGGTGGTAGGATGGCAGGGTGGCAGGGTGGTTGGGGTGGTTGGATGGCAGGGTGGTAGTGGGGAAGGGTGGCAGGGTGATTGGGTGGTTGGATGGCAGGGTGGTAGTGGGGGGTGGCAGGGTGGTGGATGGCAGGGTGGAGTGGGCCAGGGTGGTTGGATGGTAGGATGGCAGGGTGGTAGTGGGGAAGGGTGGCAGGGTGGGGTGGGGTGGTTGGGTGGCAGGGTGGGGTGGTGGGTGGCAGGGTGGTAGTGGGGAAGGGTGGCAGGGTGATTGGGTGGTTGGATGGCAGGGTGGTAAGGTGGCAGGCGGGTAGTGGGGAAAGGTGGCAGGGTGGTAGGGTGGTTGGGTGGTTGGATGGCAGGTGGTTGGTTGGATGGCAGGGTGGTAGTGGGGTTGGATGGTAGGATGGCAGGGTGGTTGGATGGCAGGGTGGTAGTGGGGTAGGGTGGTTGGGTGGTTGGTTGGGCAGGTGGTAGGGTGTAGGGCAGGCAGGTTGGGTGGTTGGGTGGTAGGGTGTAGGGTGGCAGGGTGGTTGGGTGGTTGGATGGCAGGGTGGTAGGGTGGTTGGATGGCAGGGTGGTAGTGGGGTAGGGTGTCAGGGTGTCAAGGTGGTTGGGTGGCAGGGGTGGTGGCAGGGTTGTAGGGCTGTAGGGGGCGCGGTGGGCGAGCTGTCTAAGGCGCCAGGCGATTGAGGTTGAGGTGTCGGGATCGAGCCCACCTGTGACCGGGTGTAAAAACCTTGGAGTCAACTTTGTGTGCAGACTCTTTCAGTGTTGTCACAACCCCTAGTGTACAGTACACAACCCTGTGCACTTAAAAGAACCCACGAATCCGTTGGTATATGACCAGATGGTGGCCACATGAATACGTGCAAACACCCAGTTGCGGGTACAGCAACGTGCAGTGAACTTGGACAAAGTACTGTGACTATGTGTCCTAGTCCACCCAGCTGTGAATGGGTACCTCGTTAGGATGAGAAAGCCACAATAACTCGGTGCGTCTAGTGGCTGCAAGAGTTGCATACTCCCCTGGGAGTTGAGATTGATAACACGATGTGCCATTGAGATTGGCATCCAATGATCGAGGGAAAATATACTAGCACCTTGAGCAAGCACTAGTTGCCTGGATATATGCGCTATATAAATGTCATATAATAATAGGGTGGTAGGGTGGTTGAGTGGTTGGATGGCAGGGTGGTAGGGGGGTAGGGTAGTTGGGTGGTTGGATGGCAGGGTGGTAGTGGGGTGGTTGGGTGGCGGTGGTAGGGTGGCAGGGTGGCAAGGTGGCAGGGTGGTAGGGTGGTAGGGTGGTAGGGTGGTTTGATGGCAAGGTGGTTGGATGTCAGGGTGGCAGGGTGTTGAGTCAGGAGACGGTGCCATGCATGATTGTTTTTGTTTAGTGAAGAGAAGTTATATTCCAAGCATTTTCAGGTACAGTTTGTTGCTCGGAATAATCTACACAACCGTGCACATATCGAAATGTTGGCCCCTCAAGTAAGACTGAATCAAGCTATCAGACGACTCAATCATCCCGGATACGGCAGTAAGACTGTTCCTTGAGGTCACTGTGTGACTATCCTACCTTTCTCACCTCTAGCAATAGGCATAAGGTCTGAGGACTGAATGTTGCTATACTAATTAATAATAACACTAATAATAATAATTCATTGATTTAGTTCTTTGGTATTTGCAAAATCGAACTGGCATCTAATTTTATTCAGTTTATTCCATGCATCATTAAACATGCATGTAGTGTATATATGCTTTTAATGAATAGTTTGAATCAAGTAAAGTTTCACATTCAATTTCCATTAAACCATGTAGCGGAACATCCTGAATGTAACCACATGTTGTGGATGTAATGAATGTTGGCAACAGCTGCAAGCAGTTACGGTTACTTTAATTGTTTGTATAATTGGGTGTGTTCAGTGACATAAAATAAATATGCCACTAGTAAAAACAATAAACCATAAATATTCAAAAGTAATTGATGTTCACTTGCATGAAGGTTCAGCACACAGCTGCCTTAGAGATTCAGGTGACGTTACACTTTGATACTCTAACATGCACTCTCGAGAGTCACGACATTAACTTTGGTTCATGGAACATGTACAAGCTTTCTAGATGGAGCTGTGCACGTGTAAACTGTGATCAACACTTCAACTTCTTTGAGGTGAGGTGAGGTGAAATTGGGTTTAACGTCGTGCTTGAGAATATTTCGCTCATATGACGACGTGCGTGCGTGTGTATGTGTATGTGCGGCTGCTTGTACTAGCCCAGACTTAAGCTGGTTTTATAGTGCTAGCCCACTGAGATCCCATGCCGCAGTGAAGCATGAATACCCCACTCAGACACATTATACTGACTCCCGAGCCGACCAGTCCTTGTTGTACCCATTAATGCCGAGCGCCAGGCAGGGACCAACAAGTACCATATTTTAACGTCTTTTGGTATGACGCGGTCGGGGATCGAACCTGCGACCTTTCGCTCTCCGGGCGGACGCTCTAACCACTACACCACGGAGGCGGTCCACTTCTTTGAGAGGTATTTAGAATTTGGAGTAGTAATGGAGGAGAACAAGGCATGGAAGAACAACTTCTTCATTACAGTGAGAGCCACATTTCCCTTTCAGTGAGAGCCACATTACAGTGAGAGACAGTGAGAGCCACATTACAGTGAGAGCCACATTTCAGTGTAGGTGCCAACAGTTTTTATAAAGCAAGTGTTAAACCCAAACGTTGCTCTCACTGAAATAAAGAAGTTATTAATCCATATATTGTTATTCTTCCTTACTTCAAGCATCACTTTATGATTGTTGTTTCAATGACACAAGAGCCAAGAGTCACACAATCAACCAGGTCACCCATTCTGACCATCCCGTCAGCATTGTGACCCCTCCAACCACTTCACGTCACGTCACGACGCGGGTTCCATCCCCCCACATGGGTACAAGAGTGAAGCCCATTTCTGGTGTCTCCCGCCGAGATATTGCTGGAATTTTGCTAAAAGCAGCGTAAAACTAAACTCACTCACCCAGTCACTCTAACCCCAACATGATACCAAAAGCATTATGGTACCAGAATTTGATAGGAACTGCAATTGTTCCCAGGACACTGGGAACCATATTCCCTAGACACACAACTGTGGCCTGGACACTCACTTGATGCTCTCCCAGTGGTAGTTCCTCATCTCCAGCTTCTTGCAGACATACATCCCCAGCCAGATCCCGATGCCATTACACAGCAGCACGTCCAGCACCCAGGCATCCCACCAGCACTCCGCGAAGTTGGGCAAAAGGTGGGCAAACGCCATCTGTTGGAGAAGGTGGGACTCTTAACTGACTAGCATATCGCAGAATATCGTAACACTTTGTAATCTAATAGCATTGTTAACTATATGAAACAAAGTGGAAACAGAAGACACAAATAGTAACAATTGCACCGATATATTTAAAGCCTTGAGAAAACTGTTTGGAAATCGATTTCACATAGACATTTGTCATGGTTGAAACTAACTAAAAACTAAGAAATTATACCATTTTGAAATAAACAACATTAGTTTATTAACATCACAAGTAATGAAAATAGGGCATTTCAGACGAATATACATGATTTTTACATATTTTTCTAAATAATTAAGACAACAATCTTTAGAACATTTCTCAATATCAATGAGCAAATGTCATCAAATTTGAATCAATCTGACCATCTTAACAAGGACATGTTTTGTTCAGTCTTCCTCAGAGACATACCTCCGTGATCTCCCACATGACGCTGATAGTCCACAGGATGCCGTAGTGGCGTATGAGGAGTGCCTTCATCGCCCAGCCCATGAAGTGGCTGAACGCGAACACGTCCATGTGGGATGACAGCCTCGCCCATGTGATCTGGGAACAGTTCACAGCATACTCCTGGAAAGAGAAAGCAATAGCTCTTGAGATCGGAGGCATCAAACACTTAACTAAATACACCACAAAAAATGAGTGAGTGAGTGAGTGTGTGAGTTTGGGAGGAAAGCACAAAGTGATCCAGGTCTCAAGACATTTATAACATTGGTGGAACCCACAAACCAGGGTGCTGACAAACATAGGTAAACGGGTAGGAGGGGGTCGAGATGTGAACCCACAATTATAGGGTTTCTTTGTACCCAAGACACCAACATTCTGACTTGTATTTCAATTGAAACAAAATTTCAGATATTCAAGTGTTATCATGGGGTGAGTGAGTGAGTTCAGTGTTACGCAGCACTCAGCAATATTCCAGCTTTATGGCGCGGTCTGTAAATAATCGAGTCTGTGTTATCATGGGGGCCTGTATATATAGATGATTCTTGATCTAGATTGGACAAGCAGTGTTTCCTACCATGGGCAACAGTGCACGACCTGTCATTGGCGTTGCATTTTACAACACATATCGGTGGTGATAGGAACTCAGCTGTTTTAACCCAGATTCCCAATGGTGCCAGTTCTGTGACGCTGATTACATACTTGTTGTTATGATATATTTACAGGTAAGAGTTCAGCCTATTTATGCTCTATTCCAATCATACCGTCTCATCAGGACCTTCATCTTTGAGCTCTGGGTACAGCCACACCAACATGTGACGGACATCCTTCTTGTTATGGAACAACACAAACAGCAGCAGCATGAAGTACAGGACACTCACACCTGAAACAGACAACAGCATGAAGTACAGGACACTCACACCTGAAACAGACAACAGCATGAAGTACAGGACACTCACACCTGAAACAGACAACAGCATGAAGTACAGGACACTCACACCTGAAACAGACAACAGCATGAAGTACAGGACACTCACACCTGAAACAGACAACAGCATGAAGTACAGGACACTCACACCTGAAACAGACAACAGCATGAAGTACAGGACACTCACACCTGAAACAGACAACAGCATGAAGTACAGGACACTCACACCTGAAACAGACAACAGCATGAAGTACAGGACACTCACACCTGAAACAAAACACATCTACATAAAGTACAGGACACTCACACCTGACAACAGCATGAAATATTGGACACTAACAAATTAAATGCAATGAACACAAGGCTACCCCCACAGTCCATGTACTTGGACACAGTAGGTATGTTACCGAACAGTTTAAGATTGACCTGTTGACTATGTTGCTTACCTTGTTCACACTGCCTCTGCTTAAACATCTATTCTTATCAAACTTTTGCATATTTTTCCTATTCATGTATATTTGTGCTTTTTATTGGTGTGTTTGATAAGTCTTTTGATCAATGAGCACTAACCAGAGACTTTACCATAAAGCGGCAGCGCTTCACTCCCTATGAAGATAATCAATGTTGGCATTGACGTTTATCAAATTTGTGTTCTCCATTTGTACATTTGCACTTTGTATAAACAGTCCATCCCAAATCCCAAGAACAAAGCCTGAATTGATCACCCTGCAGAAAGAGGTCACAGTGACTTGATATTAAACAGATAGAGACAATGAATTCTTGTGCACAGAAAAGATCCACAAGTAAACAAAACAAGACAATTAAATGTAAATGCCTGGCTGTAGAATTAGTGTGAAGTTAGCTGCTTGTAATGGACTTTGTGCGTTGTTCATGACAACAACACTTACCGAACACTATCCTCCATATTGCCGGGTGTGGACGTGTGAATGGACCTGTCAAGAGAAAAAAAGAGTTTTGAGAATTGTTGGCCATAAATGCATTTGGAGATAAAAAATTGATTGATAATAACAAACACTTTCAAGATGTTTCTCAGAAACTTCAGCTTTGTACGAACAGCTTTTTGCGACATTCAAGCTTTGTGACACTTGTCTGTCAATAGGTAAGTCTAGGCTAGTGGTTGATAGCATGAGCAAATGATCAAAGACATGAGGGAATGATGGCAAACAGTCAGCTAGGCCACACGGGAACCATGTTATTTCCATCAAGCAGCCCACATCAAGCAGACGGTCGGGAGGATAGTGTCTGCTCAGAGAGTGTAAGAATGGCGATTCAATATGCTGGATGAATCATGCCAAATGATGCCAAAACATTACTTTTTGTTACCCTGCCCCAACATCAGACGGATGAATATGGTTGTCCACAGAAACATTAACTAGGTCCTGATCTCTTGGTAATATATTCTCATGGACAAATTACATATATCAGTATTTATCCTACTGAACCACTGACTACTCTATGAAGTCTGGACATTTAGTTTAGTATTGGGGGTATCCTTGTGTTACAGGTTTAGGAACACTTAAGGACATCTGTTGTTTTTTATATCATTGTATGATCAGCTGTAAAACATGTCCCTATCACAGACAACTTTATCTTCAACACAAGCCACCATACTAGTGTCTACAATGTCTGTGTAATGCTTGTGATAGCAACACTGCATACGTGTAACGACTGAGCACATCCGAAAACATGATGTCTGACAAGATCTGATCTGATGAGCTTTGGCCAGAGGCATGGAATACTGAGGACTTTTTCTGCTCCAGTTCTGTTAGGAAATGATTTATGAAAGACAACCAGTTGGTGTCATCCCCTACAATAAGCCCAGCATGCTGCCATCTACTGGTCATGCCCTGATCAGGACTTTAACCGACAGTTTCTCATGGAGAGCACTCCCATGGTCATAATTATCTCTCATATTTTTTCTGTGAACTTTGACTTTCACGAGCTAATATGCACCGAGAGGAAAAGTGACAATGCATTATGGGGACATTATGCCTCGGAAACAATCTGAGGCAAGAACTGTTGAATGTCACGCTGTGCATGTAATGTTCATATAGCTCACAATTAACTGTTAGCATTACAGAAATACAGATATGAGCTTAACAATTTACCCATCGCCACAAGCAGGTCATTGACAACAATATGTCACTTTCATGATAGGTTTATGTAATATGAAGCAGAAACATATGTAGGTAGAATGTAATGAAGAAACACTATGGTGTAAAGAATCCCAAGACAAACTGTTCTGTGTGAAAGGCCCCAGAATTGGGCTTGATGGGGAGCTGGAAACATATATATTTTTTATGCTTTAATGGGGCATAAAGGTGCTCCTTATGATCAAAGGATAACCCCTCACTTGACAAGTGCCTCCAGCTACGCTCTAAGTGTGTGATTTTTACTTTCACCTTCCTCTTGGATGACCACCATTCAACAAGTGTTCAACTTGAGGTCATTTCGTCAGCGTCAGTGTGAGATGCTCACACACATGCAGTTTTGTAAATCTTGTCCAGGGCAAACAACACAAAATGTTCAACAAAATATTGTTATAAACATGAAAAGTAAAATGGCAATGTGTATTTCATAAACTTGTACAGTAGATCTTGTTGGTGATACATAATTACACGAGCAAGTGTGTCATACTCGGTTATCGTTAGGGCAATACAAAATTTCACACTCATTTCATATAATGTAACATGTATTTAATTTCATATAAGTCGTGTGACACACTTGCGAGTGTAATAATTTCTATATTATCCATTTTATTCATGTACATTTCTGGAGTAAAACACGGTAAGCAAGTGTCACTGCTCTGTTCATTGACGTCAATGTTTAATGTTTAATGACGTCACAGACAACGAAACACAGAAACAATGGTTGCTGGGCAAAAGGGATATGTGCACATGTGTACATATGATATATATGACACTGGTTACGTTTCACCATATGGATAATAAAACCAGTGATTAAATGTCAAGGTCAGTGACTAATCAGGCTCAAGGCCTTCACATTACTCAGATAAATCAGGGTTATTGTCATTGATGGTGCATCAGTTTACTTTAATGCAGGCCATTATATCAGATACTGGTTCCATAAATAGCTCCATTTGTTCTCAACAAACGCAAATCGATGTACTGCTCTTCACATCCATAAGTTCAAATTTCTACAGCCCATCAGGTAAACGTGATCCAGCTGTTAATGACCAACTTCTCATGATGGTTATTTGAAGACCTGGATTCAGTATTTGATTAATCAACAGTCATTTCTCTTCTCCATATATGAGAATCTCTTGGATTTCATAGATCATCCAAATTGCCAGGAGCATAAATTATACTAGTAACACTATTTGCAAGGATATATATTCCCCAGATGGAAACTTAAATAAAGGCTGACATTCTTACTCCGTTTCAAATTATGAAGAGCTTGATCTAAGGAGTGGGTGAATGAGTGAGTGGTTTTAAGCACTTTTAGCACTATTCCAGCAATATCACGGCAGGGAAGACCAGAAATGGCAACCCGGGTCTTCGGTGTGACGAGCAAACACTATAACCACTAGTCTACCCCACTGCCCCCTTTGATCTAAGGAACTTACACTTAGGTTGCACATGCAACATCCTGAGGAAGTAATGATGCGTATGTAGTACGGTAAATTACCCTCTGAGGCTGATGTCATGAGGACAAATAAGCCAGTTGCACAGACCCAACATTTTTTTACATCCACTTAGTACATGTAAATGGGGAGCTAGGAACAAATTACGTGAGAGGCCATATAAGGCATTGATTGTTCAAGAAATGACAATTGCCTCCAGAAGTCAGCAATATTCCAGCTGAGACTTTCAGTCGAAACAAAACTTCAAATATTCCAGCGTGATAAACTCAGGGCAGACAAACCAGTGGTTGACAGCATGGGCACTGATGACACCATCAGGGTTTGCAATCAACCACACAATGTGACCACCCAATTCCCATTTCAGGCTCCCACAAAAAACAGTGGATACCGTTGACATACTAGGAATCCAAGATGGCCAGTCAACCAGTGCTCCATCTGAGCAGTAGAATACCAAGATTTGCATCAGATACCCAAGGGCTGTGATGGAGTTTAACTTCCATCAAATCCAACTTAACTATACAGTGCAGCAGATCTAAACAACAATGCCTGCATTAAGTCTGAGGTCTATACACTATCAACCTCCCGTCATTAATCTACCAGGCTGGACAAGTAGCCTGCAGCCTCCCTCCACTGCCGGAATGTTCCGTCTTATTATAAGCTACCAGTATGCAGAAGGAAGAGAACTGTTGACATTAGGCAACAGATGCTGTCTGGGAATGGGATTTGTTTGTTCAGCAGTCTGTGCAACGTCTGTGGAGTTGACTTGCTCAGATTTGTCTATCATGAAGAGGAGATGATTAATATCAACATGTAAACTGTTATTACAATCTTGGCCACAAACTTGAAGTCTGCATTTCCATAACTACCTCTCGACATCATTTCGAGGAGATTATCTGAACATATTGATGCAAAGGCATGTTATCAAGACTCCTGCTTTAGTGGGCTGTCAGTGTGTGGTATAGAATAAGATTTATCTGTTACCTATCTGAGTGGTCTTGGAGATTCAATACATAAACTTCTGACGAAATGAGACAAAAATTCAAAACCATCTATTGAGTGAGTCAGATTAGTTTTACACCGCACTCAGCAATATTCCAGATATATGGCGGCGGTCTGTAAATAATCGAATCTGGATCGGACAATCCAGAGATCAACAAGCATGAGCATCGACTTATGCAATTGGGATACAATGACATGTGTCAACCATGTCAGCAAGCTTGACCACCCGATCCCGTCAGTTACCTCTTACAACAAGCATGGGTTACTGAAGATCAGTTCTAATCCAGATCTTCATAGGTCAAAACCATCTGCACTACTTGTCATTTGTGAGGAAACCAGTATATTAAATTTTCCTTAGTCCAGCGCACAGTTTGTTGACCTTCAATTCAAGATATTATCACGTTAAGTCACAATTTAACTTAGTTTATCTTAACTAGGAGGGGTGGTGGGTTAGCCTTGTGATTAAAGCGTTCGCTCGCCACGACGAAGATCCAGGTTTGGTTCCCCACATGGATACAATGTGCGAAGCCCATTTCTGAAGTGATATTGCTGGAATATTGCTAAAAGTGGCGTAAAACCACACTCACTCACTCACTTAACTAGGATGCTAAGATACGCGACTCTTACATTGCAGTGTTAAACATTATACTGGGGCATGTTTAGATGAACAAAGTCCACAAAATCTATTATACACAACACATTTATCGCTTTTAAATACAGTCAACTATGATTATAACAAACTCAAACATACCACTAACATGAGTTCAATATATGTGTTGTTCAATGAATTCTACTAAATACACAGAGGCGGTCGGGACCAAATAATACAGTTCGTAACATGTCTTAATTTGTCATAAGCATGTTCATTATAAATCAATTCTACTGTATATTTTCTATATTTTGACTGATTTGAAGACTATGCTTATAGTTTTTAAATGGTTTTGGTCAAATTAGTGCACATTTTCCAGTTACAGAGCCAGGCATTAGGGTCAGATGTATTCAAATCATTTTCAGATTTTTCAGGGTTATGACAAAGGTCCCTCCTATTGATGACACTGTAATGGGATCAATACGATCATGATGATGCCTGTAGATAGTTCGGCAAGTTCAGTAAAAAATATGTGTCCACTCCATCAACCTTTGAAATGAAACCTAGGCCGTGTGCATGATCAGCAAATTATGAGGGGTACACCCGTAATCTCAGAAAATTGGTTATTTTTTCAGTTGTAGCATGAAAGTTTTCTCTTCAATAAGATTAACATTATAAATTGCTTTGTTACAAACACAAACCTACTTCATTCTAATAAGATTAAGAATATCAGAAATTGT